GGACTCTCCGGTGGGATGTCTAACAATTGTTTTGGTTCCTCCGAGGGGCCTTTTTCGTTATTCAATTTTTGCATTCTGCTTTTTCTCTGCCCCATGTTTCTTAAGATTCTCACCTGCTCTGCGTTGTGTTCTTCCTTCTCGTTTCTGAAAGTCCAAGGTCGCGCTAATACTTACCTCTCGGTTAGCTGTACCGGGGTTTTCTCAGTGCTCCGGCTTTCTAGATCTTTTGGCTGAGAGAGTTTACCAGTTCCAGAGCTCGACTGGACGTTCCTTCCTCTCTCAGCCCCCTTTTTGATCGGTCCCCTGAGACTCCCTTTAGTCTCAGGCTTTACAAGTAAGGAAAGAGAGACCCTTTTTCACACAGAATCGCTTCCTTCGCGGCCGGCCAATTCCCTCGCGGGAGGATGGAAACGCGGCCTTGAAGTCCACACTCGCTTCGTGACCAGGTCACGTCTCTCACAAACTCGCCCGATCACCCGCTCAACCTCACAGTACTTACAGCAATTTCCTGCGAGGGCGTCTTCGTGCACGTGTGACTTTTTATGAGCTACCAAGCCACGGCTTTCCCGAAGGCTCCTCGCCTTCCCGAGCTCTCTGGATCCGTTTCCTCTTTATTATGGTTTTTTCCTCAGCCTAAATTTGGTTCGGCAATCGGAGCGAACTGCGGAGGGTCTCTGCTCCCCAGGCCGCTGAAATCAGCGGGGGTACCCCCCTGGACAGCGAGATTCTCCCACAGTTTCTTCCGATCCGAGTCACGGCTTCATCAGTGTTATAAATGCAACGGTAGATTAAGGATAAAAAAGATAAATTTATTATAAATTAACAAAACAGCAAAACAGCGAGGAAAAACCACAATAAAATGAACAGCGCAACGCTGGGTGGACAGGGTCTATACGCAAGGTATAGGTGTTCCCAAATCCACGTCCGAGGGTTCTTTGGCCTGGGTTTTTATAGGGATTTTATGTCCCCAGGCTAGAATTCCAATCAGTTTCCATTCACCAAGTGTTATAAATGCAAAGGCAATTTCGGGTTATATAAAAGAGAAAATTTATTATCAAACAATAATAAATTCGAACAAAGAGAAAAAAACACAATAAAATAAGCAGCGCAGCGCTGGGTGGACAGGGTCTATACGCAAGGTATAGATGCTCCCAAATCCACGTCTGAGGGTTCTTTGGCCTGGGTTTTTATAGGGATTTTGTGTCCCCAGGCTAGAATTCCAATTAGTTTCCATTCACCAAGTGTCCCTGATTGTCAGGTGAATGGATTTCCTGGCCTAGAAGATTGAGTTAGTAAGTGTCCGGGCAGAGTCTCCTCAAATGCAAAGTGATTCTGTATGTATTTTAACATATTTCATCACAGCAGAGTCGAGGGATCCGGGCCAGTGCCGATGGATATCTCGGAGGAGTTGTTTCCTCTTTGTCCTTCTTGATTGAGTTACTCCAGCATAGGTTTGGCGGGTGGGGTGTTCAATTTTAGCAACGACCATTTTCCTGAGACTCGTCCCTTTTGTTTCACTTGATTGTCTCCGGCAGAAGTCGGCCGGGCGTTGCCCAGGTCCGGAGGTAGACTTTCAGGCTAGCTCTTTGTCCCTATGATGGTCTTTGTTCTGTCTTTTCCTCCGAGTTGATGTGCCTGCCGGGGTTCGTTATCTGGGTGGATTTTGCAATCTGTAACTTTGGAAGAGAAATCCTGCCTCGACCTGGAGGAGGATTTCTCATTCCATATTTTCATCATTTACAATTACATATACTTTATTTAAACCTTTTCTTTCGAATTTTTATTCATCCAATTCTTTATTACAAAAGGGACAGGAGTCTTCATATGGGGTTCCATGAGAAGCCTTTATTGTCTTCCTCACAATGGGGTCCAGGGACAAAGACTGACCCTGGGTTCTGGAAGAGCCAGGATTATATAGGGAAGGTAGAGTGCGGGGTAGAACAGCAGGGTCTGAGGGCACAGGGGTGGAGCAAGGGGGAAGGGCAAATAAGAGACAAATAATATACATATGGGGGAAAGGTTGGTAACCCACCAGGGCACCCGGCCGTTTTAACCCTTTGCTTTATTTCTTTTGTCTCCTAATTGTCTTTTGTTTATATTAAATTATTTTTATAATTTATTAAGTGAATCTCGTTTTTAAGAGCTGCTTTGTTGGCTCCCACAAAAAAATTGCTTTGAGAGCAGAGAAACATTCTTGGTCTGTGCCTCTCTCTGTTTCTCAAAAGCCCAGTGGTGATCAATCACTGTACCTCCAACAGATTGGTCTGCCTGCCTCTTGCCTTTGTGCAATGAGTGAGGCTGGAAGGGCTCTGTAATGTAAAAGCTGCCCCAAGGAAGCAGGTGGGCTGGATGAATGGGCACCAGAGACCTTGCCAAATCCAGCCAAGAGGGGGTAGGAAATGAGAACTGATGGGGACAGCAGAAACCAGGGCAGGGGAGACTGGTAAGGTGGCAGAAGGGTGTCTGGGCTAAATGGGAGCCTGAGGAAAGAGGAGAAGAGGTCTTTCCCTCAGCCTGTATTTTTCTACTGTTTCTCAAGATGTGAACCAGGAATTAGATGTTGCCAAGGATGGGCCAAATAGCCAGTTTACTGCAATTCCCTGAGTTGTGGTTGCTTGCCTATAACAGGGAAGAGGGTCTAAAAAGGGAAAGGGGGGAAAAGCAGAACCCAAATTGTGCATCTTTGGTGTGGCAATTCCTCCCATTCCTTCCTGTTGGTAAGAAAGCTTTGCCTCACAGAATGACAGGACTGGGGAGGGGTGAAAGGGCCTGTGGACAGGAGCTCTCACAGCCAAGTTACACAGAAGGGGCAGCCCACAGGACTGTCCACAGGAGCCTCCAGGTAGGCCCCCCTCCCCTCTTGGTGTGGTGAGTGATTTCTGTGTGATGCAATTGTCAGTGGGGTGATGTGACAATGAATTGATGTGATATCTCCGTGATGTAACAATGCCCCATGGCTATATTTAGCCAGGAGACCAGCTATTGTGTCTCTGGAACAAGAGTCAGAGTGGGATCACAACACCATGAGAGGTCTTGGCAGGAGCTGTGGAGCACCATCCCACTGCTGGTGTCCTGCCGAAAGGCAGAGTCACTGCTGAGTGCACTGGGAATTAGGGGGAAGGGGACCACTGGGCCGATAGAAAGGGCTCTGCTGGGGAGCCTGAGACATGAGGTGATGCTCTAGTGCCTCAGGACTGCCATGCAGGAGGCTTATTGGACAACACCTTTGTGTCTGTGTCTTCCCATCTCAACCCCAAAAGACCACACCTGGGAGAAGGACATATCAGGAAAATGGACCCTGAACTGCTGAACATCCCACTTGCAGTCAAGATCCCTGTGGCACCTGGATCCAAGCCTGTCTTCTGCAGGAGAAAGCTGGGTGAAAAGGTAAAGGAAGTAGAAAGGAGTAGAAAATCTCTCCTCTTTCACAGAGTCCCCATCATGCAAAAATTTTCTTGTGGTCACCCGCTCTACAGCAGGAGCTGCAGCCCTTCAACTGGACAAGACTAGGCAGGGGAAGCTCCAGGCCTCCTGGAATACAGAGGAGAAAGCACTTGTCTATCTTTGCACTGGTTTCTGGCACTGTGTGTATGTGTGGCTGGGGCCCTGCCTTCAGCAGGCAGCTGTGTGTGTCCAGGTGTTGTGGATGCTAACTCTGAAACAGAGAGCATGTGAAACTGCAGGCCACATAGCTTTCTCAGTCTTGCCTGAGAAAGTGGCCTGGGAAATTATGAGGAGGATTTAAAACAATCCTCAGAGACAGAAAACAGCCTTGCAGGTGCTGTTTGTCTGTTCCTTGTTTTCTTTGCAGGAGAAGGTCGAGGGGTGGTGTGCCCCACTGACCAATGATGGTGATGTAGTAGTTTACTAACCAATAAGAGTTTCTTTTCTGTACTTTCCACGTATCAATCTATAAAAAAGACCTGAAGTAATAAACTAAGAGAAATTCTCCTGATCAACTCCATAGAGAGTCTTTGTCGTTCATTCTCGCCATTCCTAATAGAGCGACATCTGGTGACTGCCGACGTGACGTGCACCTAGGGACCCCTGAGGGTCAGTACAGCCAGCGGACAATGAACCAGCCGCTTCCCCCCAGAGGGGTAAGTGAGGATCTCCCGGGCTCTCCTGGAGGGAGCTGGGTTTTTAAACCAACGGGATAGTGGAGCCCTGCCAGTGAGCGGGCTTGGAACGGCTTATCTTGACAAAGCAGAGCTTAAAGTCCTGGGTTAAGCCACTGCGTCTGCACCACTGCATTTGCGAGCCGTCAAGATAGACAGTTCCCACAATGGGGGAACTGCAATTCAGCTAATGAACAGCTTGTCTTCTCTGTGTGGCAGGACGCCTTGCTGCGCATGGGACTCAGTATTTCTGAAGAAGCTATGCGCGCTTTGTTCCAGTGGGTAAAAGCGCAAGATTTTACTGTGACTTTTAATAATGCTTTCAACCTCGAGATGTGGCTATCAGTGGGAGACCGCTTATGGTCTGAGTCAGCTGCAGGAAATACCAGCGTGTGCAGCCTGGCAGCCACCTGGGGCGTGCTCTTTAAAGCGCTGAAGCAGTGCCAGTCTGGGGACAGTGATGCCGAGATGGAAGATTCGGATGCCAGGGGTGCCTCTTTTGTACACCAAGAGAGACTGGGGAATGAGACTGAGAACCCGTCACCCACGGAGCTGGGCGCGCAAACTTCGCCAACAGAGAGGCAGCAAGAAAACGGAGATCCCCCGTCCCCGCCTGCACCCTCCACGGCACCTCCACTGGCGCTGCGAGCACCGCCGCAAGCAGCCGCGGGGGACCTTTTCTCCGGCCCCTCCGCACCCTCTGCGCTCCTTTCTTCTGTACCACAAGGGACAGCACAGGCTCCCCCCCTGCAGCCCGCTGGTGCGGCGGGGGGAGTGGTCCCCACACATCCATCCAAAGAGCCTGCCGGCGCGGCGGGTTTCGCGGCCCCCCCACGTCCAACCGTGAAACCCACTGGCACGGCAGGGGAAGATCAGCTTTCAGCCCCCCCGCGTCCAGCCGCGGGGCCCGCGCATGCACAAACCTCGCCAGGACACCCATCGCTGCCACCCTCATCGGGGGTGTCCCCACCGGCCTCCACACCACCCCTCCACAGCAGCCTGACAGCAGCGACACCGCCCACCCCGGCAGAGGCGGGCGAGAACTCTCCGCTCCGTGCCCAGCCCGGCGCAGGAGAGCAAACAGATCCACAAGCAAAGCTACTGCCCAGACCGACTACTGCAACTTTGCTGCCAAGGCAACCACCGCTGGAAATAACAGCTGAACAAGAGCTTCAACGAACAGCAACAGCAACAACTTTACAACAGCTTTACATCGAACATGCAAGCTTCAAGCCACTCAACAACACAGCTGCAGAACCCAAAGAACAACATCAGCAGCCTGATCCTAATGAAGCAACCATCTTTACACCGCAAATAGCTTCCCTGGGTTACTTCACTGATTGCAGAGAGTAGGGAAACTTTAAACCACAGCCATGTAAACTTTATAAGTCCCTCAAAAGTCCCTCAATCATATTTGAGGGGAAACTCCAATAGACAAAAAAAAAAAAAAAAAGAAAAAAAAAAAGAAAAAAAAAAAAGGGGGGGATCGAAGCATCGTGAATTGCATTGTTAACTGATCTGTAAAAAATTTATAGACTGTAGAGTTTCACTGAGTCTAGAAATGAGTGTTCTTAAGGTGAATTTGTCACTTTGGTGTTCTTTAAATTTCCCTGTTAACAAGTTAGACTGTCAATTTGAGCAGACTAACGATGTTTTATTTGCTGTGTGTGTTAGTTCACTGAACTAGTTGTATTAGAGTCAACCATCAAATCCTTGCAAAGAAAACAATCCTTAAACATCAAGAACATAAACCAAAGTTCTAAGACCTCTTGTGCTGTGTTTGTTCTCTTTCCTGCAAGGGCCCAGCAGGAGATTACAAACACTGCGCCTTTTTATTTTTTTAAACAAAAGGGGTGAATTGTGGATGCTAACTCTGAAACAGAGAGCATGTGAAACTGCAGGCCACATAGCTTTCTCAGTCTTGCCTGAGAAAGTGGCCTGGGAAATTATGAGGAGGATTTAAAACAATCCTCAGAGACAGAAAACAGCCTTGCAGGTGCTGTTTGTCTGTTCCTTGTTTTCTTTGCAGGAGAAGGTCGAGGGGTGGTGTGCCCCACTGACCAATGATGGTGATGTAGTAGTTTACTAACCAATAAGAGTTTCTTTTCTGTACTTTCCACGTATCAATCTATAAAAAAGACCTGAAGTAATAAACTAAGAGAAATTCTCCTGATCAACTCCATAGAGAGTCTTTGTCGTTCATTCTCGCCATTCCTAATAGAGCGACATCTGGTGCCAGGGCAATGAGCCCTTCCAACTTATCCCACTGTGTCAAGCCAGGCCCTGGGGCACCTGTGAGGGAGATTCCAACCTTCTCCTTCCTGGCATCTGGGCACCTTTGGAATAGCTTGGGCTTCACTGCTTGGAGAATACACTGTTGTCCTGCAGCTTCTACTGCACCCTCCCAAGGTAGAGACTTTCTGGAGGCAGAGGCAGATGACACAGCCCTGGGGCCTGCCTAACTTGAGGAGACTGGTTTCATCCATTCTCCACTGGCTGCATTTGAATCTTTGAAGGTTATTTTGTGGATAGGTCTGCAGTTCTTCCTGGTAGCCTAAGATACCTATTTGCTGGTGGGGTTGCTGTGGGGTTTGTCTTCTCTCCCCTAACACATCACAGCCCAGCCTGGCTCAGCCCAGCCCTGTAGTCTGTCTGTGAAGGTCTCTGTGCCTACAGAAGGATAGAGAAGACCTTTAGCTTTTCACAAGTACCATGTGGTACCTCTTTGCTGCTCTCTCCTGCCTCCTTCATACTCTGGAAACTCTCTTACAGCTCCACTGGCTGTTTCCTTATTTCACTCTGGATGATCCCTACAGCCACCACCTCAGCCCAGCATACAACTGCCTGCATGACCCTGTCCTTCAGGACTACCACAAGCGCAAGGATGTGCTGCAGTTGCTGAAGAAACAGGGTTTTGTCACCAGTGACAACAAGGTAGGTTTGAGTGTTGGGCTGATCAAGAACAGCCCTCTTCAAGCAGGGCTCCCACAGCCCTTGCTGCAGCCTCCTGCTGCTGTCAGAGGGCAGGGCCGTGTGCTGGTGTCCCTGGGAGCAGAAGCAGCACCAACATTCCTCTGGCAAGCCCCAGTCCTGCCCTTCTCAGCCTGCCCCACACTGCCTGTTCAGCCCTGGCTGGGGGGACATCAGTGCCCCAAACACTGGGGTTTGGGGGGAGGGCTTGGGGATAGCTCCCCTCCCACTGGGGTCGGGCTGTATCAGGGAAGGCTGTCTGCGTGGCTTGACTGGGCTTGGGATTCTGCCCTCGTCCTTCCATAGGTGGTTTGCACTCTGAAGGAGTTCAATGAGTACAGGGAGTACCTGACCAGGATCAAGATGCAGTCAGAGAAGATCTTGGGGCAGCAAGAGGTAGGCAAAGTGTTGTGTTCAGAGGCACAGGACTGTTCAGGGCTATGCTGCTGGGCTGAGCCCTGTGGCGGGGAAAGGACTCCATGGCTGGGAGCTGAGCCAGAGCAGGGCACTGAGCTGGGCACAAGCAGCAGGACCATGTGCTGGCACACGCAGTGCTGAGGGAAAGAGGCCTTCTCTCCTGCCCTCATGGCTTGCCTGAAGTGGTGGCCTGGGCCTGCAGGAGGCCTCAGAAAGCAAGGGCTGAGCAACGTGAGTCTCAACCTGGTGTAACCTTTCAGGAAGGGTTTCTGCCATCCTGGGCCAAATTAAAGGATGGCCCCAACCTGCCAGGAACCACCAACACTTCCTGCTGGGGCAAGCGGTGGCTGCAGCTTTGTTATAGATACATATTATATTATTGGCTTTTCGCTAATATTAAAATGAATGTTATATGTATAAGGTTAGAAAACTTCGTTGTATTAATATAGTTCATTCTATTTCTGCTATTGAGGAAACTTAGAAATAGTGGTGTAATAAATATATATGTTGACCTATGGCATAGTATTAAAGCAAAAACTACTTTTGTTTGTATAACCCAAAGGCTGAAAAAGATGGTTAGAGACCCCCCTACATTCTTAGATTATCTTATCCAGCTGAAGACAGTGGTGACCAGAGCTCTGGGGGAGGAATTTATTGCACCTCTGTTATCAGGGAATGTGAAACTCGGTGCAGCCAAGAAGATTGATCAACTGGGGAGGGGGCGAGTTGGGACTAAACAAAGAAACATCTAAAACTTAAGAGGAATGTTTGAATTATGTATGAGAATTTATGAATATGTAGTAGGGTTCTGTTTTTAAGGGACAATCCTTTGTTGGTAAGGTGTGCTCTCTGGGCGGAGTGCTGAAGCACCAGCCGTATTTGCATACTTTGCTTTATTTCTATCTCCTAATTGTCTTTCTATTAAACTTTTAAAATTTTATATTAAAAATATGTGAATCTCGTCTTTCACAAGCCTCAAAAGCCTTCTAGCCCACCACCACCCAAGAGCTGAAAATCAGGGGGATGCAGAAAAGGGAGAGCAACTTTGGACAAGGGCCAAACTTACTCCAGAGCTGAACTGGGCCAGAAGGATGCCAGCACTGCTGCTGACTCCCAGAGGAAGCCAGATGGCACTGCCAATGGCCTATTGAATGCTATGTTTGAGGAACTAACTGCAGCAGAAGCCAAGAAGCTTGAAGAGCTGGTTGAGACTGTGGTGCATAGAGTGTTGGAGAGGCTGAAGATTCCTGTGAATCAGCTTGTCAGCTTTTTACAGAGGGCTGCCAGGGGAATCAGAGGAAGACTTTAAAGCAATTGCATGAGAGTAGAACTTTCAGATACTTCTCTAGATCACCACTGGAAAATGGAAGTGATGGCAAAAGAGCTTGTAGCAATGGTGTTGGAGATCTTGGGGGACCCTCTGGTATCCAGCAGATCCAAAGCTGCTGAGACAGGGGTGGCAGCCAGGTGGAAGGAGCTGCCTCTTGCTGGAAGAGCCACTGAAACAGCCACTGCAGAGCACTTTCACAGACTTCCCTTGACACACTCACCAGAGAAGTTGTTGAGAGTGTTCACTGCACCTTGGAATCCTCTGTAACTTCTCAGTTTGATCAAGACACTAGTTGTGAGTACACTGAAATCTTGGAGCTTCCTGGGACAAATGTCTCTAACAGACAACTGCAGCCATCCCAGACACTTTCAAGGCAGGGCATGGAAGCAGGACAAGGATTCCCCAGAGCATCTGAACAGCAGAGCCTGAAAGCAATGTTGCCTATACCTGCAGAAGGGGTTGGGTGTGTGAAAACCAGTGAGCCTAAGGCTTGTAAAATGGTGAAGAAAAACTTGGAAAGAAAAATGAACCTAGAGTCAACAGCCTTAGCCAACACTTCGGATATAAGGACCATGTCAAATCGGATTGCTGACTCAGTATTAGAGTGGATCAGTCAACCTGGGCCTGCACCAGCCCTCAAAGAGAATTTTCAAGGGCCTGTTGCAAATCCACCCACAGTCCAAGGTGGAATGGAGAACTGTGCTGCTGAGGACACTCTCCCTTCCATGGAACATAGCCTTTCCAACAACCCAGGTCAGAGCCCAGCACTGAGCAGAGCGCCCAAAGCTCATGTGAGGCAAGTGAGGTATGTGACTGGAGAGCTGAAGAGCCCTTGGACAGTAAACACAGACCACAACCTTGTGCTGGTAATGAAGAGTTTATTTCCAGGGCCTTGCTTGTGCTTTCTTCGAGCTAGATCATACTGTCTCTGGGCATTTTCTCTACTGTAACCTAGCTTTCCTTCTTCAGCCTCTGTCATGCTGAGACCAAATTTTATAGGAAATTTGAGGTAGGGAGGCAAGGAGTAGCCAGTATTTTTGTCTTGTTTAGCAAGTTTTGCTGTTGAGTGAGTGAAAGGATGGGTTTGGACCTTCTCTGCTTTCTCTGGTAAGGAGTCCAAGTGTCACCTATAAAGCCTTTATTTATGCTCAGCATGAGCAGAGTTGTGCACTCCACAGGACTCACTGTGAGGGAGCAGCAGGAACTGTGACTGGACAGTTGAGTGGGAACCAAGCTGACAGGGCACTGCCCTATCCAGCACAGGACAGGTCCAGTGGTAAAAGCGGGGGACAGTGACCAGATGAGCACTGGAAAATCCTACAATGATGAGGCAGGACAGGGGAGGAAGTCAATGCATGGGCTTGGACAAGGATCACCATCATCACAAAAAGGCTGACCCAGCTCAGCAGAGGTCCAAGGACAAAGCTCTGTGGTTAGGCAACATTCCTGAGAAACAGGGAGGAAGTTCCCAGTGGCATAGAAAGTTTTAAGGTTTTACAGTTAAGATATAGAAGTAGTTACAAAGATACTAAGAAGTTTAAGGTATAACAAGTAGTTTTGTGTGTCATTATATGATTGGTTAAGAAAGTCTGCACTGTGGCAAAGATGTATAAAACAAAATAAGTAGCTATTGGTATGAAAGTAGAAACATTATTTTGTGGCAGAAGCTTATGGGCTAATTAACCTTTAAAAGACCCTGTGACCTGTAGTTTTGTGACCACTGACTAAGAACATCTGGTGAATAAGGTGAAGATGTACTTATTCCTTCATGAGACCATAAAAGAAGAATAATAAATCATGCTTTAAAACGTCTCCCAGTTCTCCCGTCTCTCACAAAACCCCGATAAAGTGATGTCCCGCGTTCAGCACACCTCGGGAGCGCCCCAGGGAACAGGATTAAAGGCAGCTGGAGGAAGCTGGATAGCGCACGCAAGAAAAAAAGAGGACCCTGAAAAGAAGGGTGAACGGAGACTCCAAAGGTGAAAGGAACCAGAACACTTGTGCCGCAAGCTCGGCTACGGAGGGAGACCGATATTAATCCCTGATCGTCGCGGCGGATCTAAAAGGAACTAAAGGGCAAGAATGCCGTGGAAACAAGTGCAGACAGATGTATGCACACTTCTAGAGACGGTGCTAATATCACATAATAGAGCCATACCCAAAGCCGAAGTGGGAGGTTTATTGTCTTGGGTGCAGAAAAATTTCACAGAAAATGACCCGGAAAAAGTTTTTACAGCATCTTTCTGTGACTCTATCAATATCAGATTATATGATGCAATTAGTCGCAGAGATTTTGCAGCAGCGACATTGCTTCCAGCGTGCCGCGTGATTAATGAAGTCCTAATGAAGTTACACATGCCCGCGAGCAGTCGCGTGATCCTCCACCACCCCCGCAGAAAACGCGGATAGCCCCGCGGCAGCTGCATCCGGCACTGCCGAGCCCACGAGTAACTCTGAAAATTATTCAGGAAACCTCCCCGACCCCGCGTGTGTCTTGCCCGGCCCTGTGGAGGTCCCTCTCGGTGCTGCAGACAACACTCCCCGGGGAATGCAGGCCCCCGAAAAATCGGAGTTTGAAAATGGCGCAGGTTCGGGTTCGGACGTGTCCCTGAAGCACTACTGCACATGCCCAGTACAGCAGGCTGTGCAGAGAACCTCACTGCGCATGCCCAACCGGCACCGTACACGGAGCATGCGCATTGCCACCGTCTCCATTTTGTAACCCCCGAGACTCGCAACCTCCACTGCAACGCCACCTCTGTCTGCTTCTGTTACTGCAAGGAGGTGTGGAGAGGAGTGTGGAACAGAAATTCACTTGCAACCAACAAGACTGTAACAGCGAGAAAAAGATTTTACCCCGGGAGAAGGGACAGATTTGTAAGATGCAGGTTCACCGGATCCAGGAAGACACACATCAAATTTTAAATCTTGGGAATTTTCAAGAAAAAGTTTAAAATCAATTGACTGGGGTGAAGTGAGAAGGAAAGGTTTAAAGGAAGGAGATTTTGACATAGCAGAAGAGCAGTTTATAGCCTTGCCAATGCACCAACACAGAAGGAGATGTAGGAAGCTTGTGATAGTGTGAGCTCAGAAGTTCAAAATACTGGACTTGAAATTTCTACATCGAAAATACAAAAAATTTCGCCATGGAAATATTTAGGATGGAGACTAGCAGAAGAGTCAATTAGGCCACAGAAAATACAACTTAGGAGCAGTGCAAACAATTTGCAGGATCACTAATGTGAAAAACGACATTCACTGTTCTGGTAAATTTTAAAAGGTTTAATAAAAAAGACAATAGGAGACAAAGACAATAAAGTGAAGGCTTAAAAGAGCCGGGTGCTTGGCACTCTGCCAAGAGAACACCTGGTGCTTTGGAAACACTCTTTATTACCATTTCTAGTGCATCAACCTGATGCATATTCATAGACTTTATGCATATTCAAACTTTTCTATTAACTGGTTCACATTTTCCAGGAACTGTTTAGCATGGCCACTCCTTGGGTCCACCTTTTTAGAGCATGTGTGTTTCTTGGCTTGTGGTTTTAATCTCTTCTTATCACCTTTTAATTTGGGCCTTGGCTCCTTCTTTCCACAGACAGTGGAGT